ACAGGTACTTTTGTCAGTTCGAATGAAAATGGCATGTTTGTGTTAGATACGAAGTTGAGCGGGCAGTTCGGAAGGGAGAAGATTATTTTAATGTCTGATTCTTTTTGGAATGGGAGTGCTGGTAGCCTACACCAAAGTCCAGCTCGACCAGAGGTTTTATGTCATCACAGGTTGTTCACCACCATTGTGAGATGTCACCTGTGAGCGCTGAACTGGGTTACTCATGTGTGCTTAGGTTTTGTACTTTCACCGTACACTCCCTCGTTTCCTTCGGGGAAACAATCAAACTCAGCTGAAACCTGCACTAAGCTCAACATGAGGAACGGTTCAAGTGAACCCAGCTATGAAATAGAACCGCTGATCGATGATCATTTGATCAGCATGCTCATGCGAAAAGGTCGGCTGAGGCCGGCTGTTTGTAGAGCTCAAACAACCCAAGAATCCACTTTACTACGAGGAACGCGTTCTGGCACTCAGCTTGGGTGAATATTCAGTACGACCCTTTGTAGAATCGTCTCCCGGTCAAGGGAATGAGAAAAAACCAGAACAGCTGGCTTAACAACAAGCCAACCCCCGGACCTCCTCTATCGGTGTCGGTGGTCTGATGGATTCGAAAGCTACGCTGTCCGAAACAGTTCATTGTGAGTCGGATAGCTGCTCAGCTCTCAGATACGAGTGAGATTGACAATAGATCCTTTAAAGATCACATACGAGAGCATTTCAAGAAGAGATTTTTCTGCTCCTCTATCAGTTGATTGATCTCATACGATCATTATCCGCCAGTCTAAAGTTTGTTAATTTAAGATCGCCCCCATGCTCATCCACGTAATTTATTCATCTCATAAATCCAGAAAATATCATTAGGCACTATTAAGAATTAACCGACTTGAAAGTGATGAGCATGTTTTTAATAAATTTATTTTCAATACTCTCAATGGATCGAGACACAAAGAATAACTACAATAACTCATAAGCCTTCATAGGTTTTGTTTTATCAAGTTAGGCACAACACATTGTCAATCTCATAATTTAACTTTTGGGGGGTTAGAAAGTGGACAATAGTTTTTATTCAACATAGACAAGTCTACAAGTTTAATCACTGACTTGATTTAAGAATGGGAAATTTAACACAAGGATATCTCTTCCTATCTCTCTTTTTTGTCACCTTATGAATCCCAATTTCCAAATGGAAGCAACACTATCTTATACACCAGGATCAGTATCATCTGTGAAGGAACTCTATGAATATTGAAAAACATTAGTAAACGTGCAGACGTGAAAAGTGGAAATTGTATCACTCACCAAATTTGATAAGCTGGCAATTGAATAAGTGGGTTCACTGATGCCAAATCTGCCAGCAGGATTCTTGATTGCGACAATGTGACCCGTCAAGAAGCGAGTATCTACTACACAAAGGCTACTTGGGTTGGCATAGGTTATTGTGGCTTTGAGATACGGATAGCGTAGAAAGAAGTTTTTCTCAGAATCTTGACCATTCAACGGTGAAAAAGGATTAACCAATAAAAAGATTCCATTGGGGACAGCTTCAGTGCAGAATATAGCCTGAATCTTGCCAAAGCGCGCCTGCCCTTGAGCACAATACTCAATCGTGCTATTGCCTTCATGGATAGACTCGACTGTATAGTTCTTGCGCACAATTCTCAATCTCTTGATGGTTTTCACCAAAGATGGCAGATTTGGATAACCAGAAAAGGTATCCATGGAATCAGCAAACACACCATAGTCCGCTTTCAAGTCATTGTTCATATAGTCGAGCCAAGTATGGTATGCAGCAACATCTAGAGTTGTGTGATCAGACCAGCAAGGCTCTTGGGCACCTCCAAGTTGCGCGAGAGCTCGATCCCGAATATTTGGCTCGGCTTGATTGAGAAAATTCGGTGCTTGATCCAAGACCGCACGCAAAAGTCCACGCCGAATGTAGTTTTCACACATCGTCTTATCTATCTCAGCTGTTCAAAACTCTTTAGTCTGATTTGATGAATCTGTGAGGTGAAAAATGTGCTTACTCAGATGTTTATTTGTAGAAGTTCGGGACATAACTCCATTTGAACGTTCTCCAGCATAAGTAGCAGTTTGTGATGGAGGTCCGAAAAGGACGGCAATGTCTGGTAGGTGTTGCGCAAAATGTAGATTAGGTTTTACACTGACATGAGGCCAATGAGTTACGAGATGTTGCCGAAACTTTTGGATAGCTGTCTGCAATCGTGGTCCATCGCTGTGATGAAAAGTCCGAGAAACTGCCAAGTTTGTGATCTCGACAGCATTTATGATACTCTGCCCCATGATTTGTCGCTTGGGATCATCAGAAAAATAAAGGTCGGGAATGGTAACAAGAACCATGAAGATGGTATACAACGTTAGCCACTCTGAAGCCTTTGGAGTTCCCGACTTTGGCATCCCAACCTTGATAGGAAGTCTGGCCATCCAAGAAGGAGTTATGGATTTTCGAATGGCGTCCTGCAAACGTTGTAGATCTAAAGGGGTGAGTGTAATACTATCGGATGGTACTAGGGGTCTTTGACCGCTATGTTTCTTGGATTTCTTGGATACTTTCGCGCCTCGCAACCGTTTTATTGGTCTAGGAGGTGGGGATGATCCACGCACTGTATCTTCTGAGTCGGTATCGGTGTCAATTGTCTTAATTGTCTTCCTCTTCCTTTGCCGAGTTTTCAAACTGCTGCTAGATGCCACACCATCAGCAACATTTGCATTTGACGCTAGAGAGTCTATGCGCTGTTCGTTTTCAGACAGCTTGCACTTTCGCGGTAAGAATTCACGGGTGCTGCTGCTAGATCGCCTGGACGAACCATCTTGGATGTCTGTATCGTTTCAAAGCTGTCCAGTAGACTACGTTCGTTATCAATAGATGATGAAGATGAGTCTGCAAGGGGGGCCGAAGTGCATGTAGTATCTTGGGATTTTTTTCCGAGATGTTCTTCATTACTATCCTCATCATCAGATTGAGAGTTCAGAGCTTGACCTTCGTCTTCCTCGACTCCAGAAGAGGTATTTTGAGCTAAGTTCTGAGTATCTTCTTCATGAAAGCCTTCGTAAATTCCTTTCACTGCCAGCATTAAATAGGTTCCCTGGTCGGAACATGACCTAGGCTGGGAATATCATTGAGAGAAGAATGGAGCATCACATCATCTCGCACTGCACATCTGAGCCATAAAGCATACACTACATATGTGCAAACATCTGAGTAAATCCTTAGCTATCAGCTACATACAGGTCCGCTCAGTTATCTGCTCATCTAGATAAGAAAATCATGTGTAATACATGCTGTAACTTTGTTCAGATTGAGACACACATTTCAAAATATTGACTACATATATCACAATGGCTACTCAGGCAATATTCATGGAACTGTGTAACAGTAGCAGAATGGGAATCTGATCACTAGGACCCATATTCCCATCTGGGAACCTCTTTAATGCTGGAAGTGTTTGTCCGCGTTGGATTTCTGTAATGCTTTCAACAACTCTCCAGCGCCGGCTATATCCAAGTAAGAAGTTGCGTGCTCTTTGAGAATTCCAAGGAGAATACAGTGCATGATATCAATAGTGATGAAATCGGTTAACCTCCAGTAAGGCAATTCAGAGAAAACACAGTATCGAAGGCCATACGAATCGAAGATCTTGTTTTGATCAGCCAGCGTGTTTGCATCTCTCCACTCCTCGGCGTGGTTTTGGGTGCATGACTTCGTGGGCCACTTGCTGATGTCGATCTCGGATAAGCTTTTGTAAAATAAACCACAATGGGGACAAAAGTGCTTGGCTCGAACACCAGCAAAGCCAGTCATCTTTCTCATACCAAGCAAGTCAGCCATCAGTGGCCATAGAGCAACCCGGATTTGCCGACCCCCCGGAAACCTTGATGTTGCTGAGAAGTGAACACCTCTCCAAAGTTCTTGAAGTTCAGCCACTAAAGGTCTCAATAAATGATTCATTTCCTCTGTTTCGGGCTCGTCCGGACCTGGGATTGTTCCAAACAGACACGTATATTCGGTTTTGAGTCGAATTTCAGGTGGTAGATTGAAACAGATAAGCAGTAAATTCCCAGTAGAGATTTTTCGTCGAGAGCCATTGCCGTACGGGTTGAACCAGTCGCAATAGAGACCAAGGACAAGATTCCCACTTGTACTAGTGTAACACTGGCCTTCCGAATCTTGGAAAGTCCTCCACACATGTCCATCCCATATATCAGTCATTGGCGATAAATTGGACGGTTCGGGGCGGCGTAAAGATGCATCCAAGTCCTCTTCGAAGCGGGGCAACGATAACATTTTTGCTAACCAAACTTTCAAAGACTGATAATAAAATGTTTTTCGGGGCTTATCCAGCTCAGATTCATAAAGCTTTGCATTACATGGGCTGCGAGTGATTTCTTTCAAATTCTGCCTGGTTCGAGTCGGGTCCTTCAAAAACCGCATATTATCGCATATCAACTTTCTGCCATCATCCGTTGCTGGAAGTGGTGCGCCATGCAATGCAAAGCATTCAGGACAGCAGACTTGAGACTGAAGTTCCACATTCAAATTCAGCTTGTCAAACACTGTAGGAAGTGTCACAGGTATCTGTTTCCAAATGGGCGGTCCAGCGTAATCCGTTTCTTTAAGGGATTGTTCCAACTGGAGTCGAGAAAAATGTAAAGACTGGCGACACTCTGAATGACTGCTATTTGAGACGATGTTACTATGAGCCACCTTCAGCATAGGAATAAGACAGGATGGATGCCTGAGATAAACCTCCGGGAATCTGAATGATGAAGTATCAAAAAGGGCTGTGGAAGGAGAAATCTCTTGAGTCTGAAATCTGGATTCGCTGGTGGGAACGCCATCGGGGACGGGATTCGTAACCGAGGGAATTTGCGGCCTTTGGCTTGTAGTAAGATCCCTTCCGGCAGAGGCATTCGATTGATAGCTAGCAGATGCGAAGGTTTGTTGTCGGTTGGGGATGTCTCCAGTATTGGGAGACCTTCGCCGTATCTACAAAGCAGGACTGTAAGTGAGGACACAGTCTAGACGAGACACAAAAAGATTGCATCACATACCCTGCCATGTTCAGACCTGCGAATCTGTTCTTGTTTTTCTTTCAACTTGTTGGCGTGCGCTCGTGCACTTTTCGTACCTCGATGTACCCCTGGGTAGAGCTTCCCTTCGAGTTCGAAGCTTCGAGTACCACATCCTAGCTCCACGCAAGTGCAGGGAGGGGGCTTAGGGGCCGATCCCATAGTTTTGACGACAAGTTCTGACCGCAAGAGAAAAGATGAGAAAAGATGAGCGAAGATTTGGGCTCCAGAGAGCTCCAGAGTCCCAATCCGGTTACACAGGCAATATCTTGTCAATTTACATACTCTGGTTCACGTGCCCTGTCACCCTGGTACCAAATCATTGATCAACGAGACACCTGCTTAGTTATGTTTTAAGGTGGGTCATGTTGATCATTTCAATCGCCATATGTACACATCAGAGTCTACTCAACTAAGTATCATGTTCATTCTTTCTTAACACGAGTTACACGAGTCAATGAAAGACTTTTTCTTTCGTGATATCCACCTCTACACGAAAATATTCATTTTTGTTTTGTTTTGAATCCAACTTCTTTTTTAAGAAATCCAAAAAATCCAATCCTAATCACCAGCAAACTTACAGGTGTCAATGATTAAGATCGTGGATGAAATAACATTGAGTAAGTAAAGTAGCTTCATCACCGTATTCAAACAAATCTAAATCTAAATCTTACAAATGAGTTTTGAACTGAATGATAGAAATTGACATAGAACGGGATATACTTACAAACCTCTACTCCCTGAACTATGGTTAAAGGAGGGAAGATTCGCTACTAGTACTAAGTGCATTGAAAAAACAAGTCCTTGTATCACGTTCTGATCATCAGGATTCAGAGTCGGTGTTCAGAGTATGTAGTAGTATCAGAATTATAAGTAATGATTGGTAGAATACTACCAATGAATCCGAGCAAGAGATGTTACGATGGTATTAAAAAAATATACACAAAGAAAATAGGATCATGAAGAGGGCTATGTACATACCATCATGATGAGAAGTTACCAACAAATAGAAATCACTAGACACATATACCTCCAAAATTGATGAGTTATATACAGCATCTCGGGTAAACATTGGATACAAAGAAAAATAGAGAGGTGTGTAGCGAACATAAAATGAAAAGTCTGAGAATGTTTGTGCAACTGATGAGATGATACGGGAAAAACTGAATCACATAAGTAAACAAAAGATCGATGCCTTCCGGATGGCGCAGGTAAACAGTAAAGTCAGCAATCAATTCTTGAGGAGAAAGTTGAACAAAACCTACATCTCAAATTTCCATTCGATTTAGCCATATAAGATGCCATAGGTGCTTCTCACAACATCTTGATAAGTTTTAACCAGCTCAGTCTTTGACATTCTTTTGCGCAGGTAGTAGCCCGGGTCAAAGTGCTCAATCAGAGCTCTCAGAACTCTTCGTGTAGTGGAATAGTCCCAGAGACTGCATTCGGGGAACATATACTGGATGAGATGGTCAGGCAGAGTAAGTGCCTTGCGCCAGAACCGGGGATCCTCCTCTAGAGAGACCCGCATCCTCAAATTCCTCTTGATTGGCCGGTTGTGCTGGTGATTGACTGAGGCTGCTCGGCGACGTGGGTTCCGTCTTTGACCAACGTGATTCACCGGTTGATGCATTCTGGCAACCGGTGGTGTATTGGCTGCTCGACGACGTGGGTTCCGTCTTTGACCAACATGATTCACCGGTTCATGCATTCTGTCAATCTGTGGTGAAGCACATCTGTCAACGTCCTGCGAGTGATTAATCAAAGCTCTTGGACGTACTCGGTTTCGATTGCGGGTGTTCTTGATGTTCTTGATTTCGACATAGACATTACCCGTAATATTCACATTTTGAATTCGGATGGCCATCACTAGAAGGTCATAGAAAACCATAATGTCAAGACAAATCAGAAACTAACAGACATCATCACGCTGACAGTTAGGGAAATAAAGATAACATGCCTCTGAGTATCAGTATTTGAAGCTACTGGGATATAGACTAGTTGCAAACAGAACGAATTGGGCCTGAGACAAAAGAAGCAATTTGATAAGCATATTATGGAGCAAGATATGGATGAGAACGCGGACAAAACTTACGTTCTTGATAGCGTGAGAGGTATCCAATAGAGAGATCTGTACAGAAATAGATGGACCGTTCAGAGGATAAAATGAAAAACTATTCACAAGATAGACTTCAGTTTTGAGTAGAACAGATTCAAGAAAAACCATAATTTCAAGACAAATCAGAAACTAACAGACATCATCACACTGACAGTGAGGGAAAGAAAGATAACATACCTCTGAATATTAGTATTTGAGCCTACTGGGAAAGACTATTTGAAAACAGAACAAAGTGAGCCTGAGAAGAGAGAAGCAATTTGGTAAGCATAGTATGGAGAAAGATAGGAATGAGAACGTTTACGAAACTGACGTTGTTGATAGCGTGATTTTGAACAGAAAAAAATGGACCGTTCAGAGGTCACGATGAAAAACTGGTTACAAAAGAGACTTCAGTTTTGAGTGGACTCTAAGTAGAACAGAAACTTGAGGGCTATATAACAATGCCGCGTCATGTAGTCCATATCTTCTGTCGTCTGGTATTTGGAAATTTCGGCTCAATCCGTTTGTGTATGCCGGTGATAATTGTGCGTAATTTTTCTTTTTGATTTTTAGAAAGGGCCGGTACAAGGTGAAAAAGGCTATGTTGACACCTATGTAGTTGACACTGGAGAGTGGAAGGTCTATGGTTAGTTGTGATCGGTGGGTATCATGCCACTTGGGTTATGAAGGGCGCTGATTGTGTAGTTGAGAGTTCCCGAAGTAGTGAGAATCAAAATCAATAAAGAGGGTCAGAAACGTCTCCAGAAAAGACAAAGAATCAGAAATGGAGAAAAGAAGGACGCACTCACGGTGAAAAGCCAAAAGGACAGGACAATCAGATTGGCGGCAGCGGCCAGGATAGTGCGTAGAAGGTCACGGCGAGTGGTGTGCAGAAGAAAAAGAAGTAGATCGGGAGGGTACACACGAGAGGAGGTGTAAAAAGGGGGTCGTGAACAGACAAGAAAGAAAGAGATGATTGATATCACCGGTTTTCCCCCAAACACAATCTGTTTTCCTTGGGGAGGGACATTTTTACACCGTGCCATTTACACCGACTTTTTCGGTGTAAAATCGAAAAGGTGTAAAATTACCAAATGACCCCCTTATTTGGTAATTTTACACCGTTTCGATTTTTTTTTCGTCAGTGTAAGATTTTTATGTGGGAAAACTTTCGGTGTAAAACTCTTGTACCCGGTCGTGATATCGAATTTTACACCGGAGGATTTACACCGAAAACTTTCGGTGTAAAA